AATAGTCTGGTAAATCTCTTATTAGCAGTTAGTCTACCCTCGAAAGTTTTTCCGTTGCGTATTTGCTAGGACGTTTTGTATATTTGTAGTGATATAACCTCTACAATGTCCATATATGTTTGCCATTCCTTTGCCGTATTGTGCAGTGGTTCTTGCAGACGTTTTTCGAATAGCTTTTGTTGTTGATTTCATGCATTTTTCGAATCGATTTAATATCATATCAAGAATACTGAAAATCCTCTTTTCTTTCGATTATATCCAATATCTTTAAAAATTCTGATTTCGAAATATTAGGACATTTATTGGTCATTCATTTGATTGAGTAATTAAACTACACCGTACTCTTTATTTAAAGTTTGAGGGCAGCGTTTTAATTACCTAATTATTTCGCGAATTTACGTTATTGCTCTCGCGTGCATTGCGTTTGTTGTTCTTAGGAATTATCTTGCCAAAACTTTTGTGCAGTGATAATAGTGTTCCTTTGCCCACAATGGGAGCTTTTTTCTTTTCGTTAATACAATATTTTCGAAAACGTTTCACTTATTTTTCTTTGATTAAATGTTACACTTTGAAAGCTGTTGCCGACTGCTAAAATCCTTCAGATTAACTATCTACTCACAACTAAGGCACCAAACTAAAATCTATTTCGACTTACTTGTAGGTTTTATACTAAGTGTATATGTACATATGCATAAGCATATGCATGGGCCCTGAGAGCATTTTCTAAGAGTACCTCGAGAAGAAACGCTCTTGCCAACTCCAGTGCTAGTACGCTCATTTGCATGGCCAGAGTTGTGTACTCACATACGTACGCACCGACCTGCTTCCGCAGGTCACCGTACAGAGTGCTGCCCAGCACTGCATGCGAGTTACACTGGATCAAATGCTCCGGGAAATCGCTATTAGGGATGCGTAAACTGGTATACCAGCTTAAGGTTTGTGATTATAATTAACTTCTATCATACAAACAGTTAAGTCATATTTTAGAGATCAGAAACCAATTTCATCAAAAGGTTTTTCTTTTCACCTACTTCGTACCCTATCGGCCAGGCTTTTAATGTTTTTGCCTAAGCCAAACTAAGCACAACAATAATGGAGTAAAATGATGTTTGTTCTTGACTTGATAGCAATGTAAGCAATGTCAAGTCTCACTCAAGAAGAATCCATGCCCTATGTGGATGATTAAACGAATTCTATTGAGAAAATTAAACTGAATCTTACCTTTATATTGATTGGACTTTTCCCAAGCCACGGAAGGTTTGGTATATAATTGACCATATAATATGCGCAAATATTCGGGATCCAGATATAATATCGTGCTCATCATCCCCGGAAGAGGAAGAAGAAGAGGGGGCACTTGCCCCCTCTTCTTCTTCCTCTTCCGGGGATGATGTATTGACCATTTACATCCATCGATCAATTCCATCGTTGATAACGTTTACTAATCACCCACCTTTTCTTAAATCCGAGGGCATTATACCAATATTTATACCAATGTTTATATACCAATATTTATCTTGTTTTCGCTCGTTCGACGGTTCGGCTCTACTTTACGTTGGCCGGTTCCCCATTAACTGCTTATTTAAGGCAATTTGAGGCACTCTTTTTAAATGAATATAATAATTATCTCATACAACCGACAGAATTAACACATGCGTTCATTATACAACCTTCGGATATTTAAGAAATATGTCGCAATTTACGGTCTACTTTACAATTCAGTGTAACTGAACTCACACACCTATAACGGCTTTTAACAGCGAGTAGCAGACTTTCAGGATGTGAAGAACCTTGCTTCTACCACAAACCTTTTCGGTAAAAAAAGGTTTTTTTTTCTCGTAGACCTCTGCAGTGCTGATTAACGGTGTTTTAGTGTTTCGGTTTCAACGGGATTAGCACATCCCCTGAAGGGGCTCTCTCGATGTTCTATACAGCAGTATGACAAAACGCCCAAGGTTCGCCTTAGCGTGCGTGCGTGTAAGCTGCAGCCAGTCTCAATGCAACGGACTCACATAGTTTGAAATGCTACCTCCGGCCAGATTTGCAGTAGTCGACTTCTTTACTATTGGCGTAGTGTTTTCTATTATTCGTACAGTTTTTTTTCATAACGTTCATGCGGATATAGTATTTTGTATACTGGAAGAAGTACCTGCTGGAAATGC